GAGATAGAAAGTCACGTTTGTGGCAATGCCGAAGTACATTAAGTGTCGTAAGTAGTCATAATTGGATTTTACAATGGACTTCGGCTTTTGGTTTATCTACTTGTAGGTAAGTATACATTGTAGTCTCACGCAAAGACACTCATATAAATACCAAATCTCTAAGCTGCGCGATATCAAATGAACTTTCTCTGCAGTTGCCGCAAAACTTAGTGCTTGTTGGCGTAATGGTTTGTTTTGCAACATTCGATTGCAACACTAGAGACCTTACGATCCAACAATGGCAATGGCAACGTGAGAAGTCTGGGTCATGCAGGGCATAGTTAATAGAGGGGAATAGTTATGAAACCCAACAAATTACTTTGGTGTTTTTTGGCCTCGACCGTGTACAAAACACACTAGTTGTTTACTCCGTACTGAGAAACGAGCCAATAGAAACATTTTGGTCACGTAATTCACGCATAGTGTATAAGCACAAAAGAAAAGGTTGTGCACGGTCATGGACCTTCTAAGCTGAATCTTGGAATCTTTGTTTGCTCCTTTGGTGTTTGCCAGGCTTCATAACCATTTCCCTCAGTCTATAAACTATGTGCGAGGCTATACGTCACGTTGGCCCTTCCAACAAAATTGAGATTACAAAATTTTACGAGTGAGAACAAGGACGACGGCCATTGTTCATGGTGTTGTTAATTTTTAAACCATGGCAAAGTTTTGTGATCGGCACTATTCTCCTGGCTCATGCTTCCCGTTTAATTAATGCTGAAGAATTTGTGCTACTCTATGATTTACACAAGCCTTAAAATCGAGATTTACCTTATACAAACGACAAGTACTTCAGCCTGAACAAGATGACAGATGATGTAAACTAATGTCGCTTAATTAGTAAACAGTTGAATGCCAACATCTTTCAGTTATGAATACAGTAATATTTGAGGTAGTCAGGAATTCGTCGATGGAAGTGTTTAACGTAGCCAGTGAGGTCCTCAGTATAAATGACAATTAGATGAATGAAAAGAAATACACTTAGTAAAACCAAAATAAAAAAATCAAGCTTAATTAGCTTTAAAGTGCCTATAGAGTAAGAAATAATTGCTGATCATTTGAAATGCTTTTCAGAGTAAAGGAGAATGGCATTTTCTTTTTTGGAATATCTTTTTTCGTTTTAGTGATATTTAAGTTTCTGTATTAATACACTTAGTAAAACTACGGAACTACGGTAAATTAGGATTTACTACTTCAATTTTTATTAATTAGTATTTAGCATGGACTATTTATTAGTAGTTTATTAGTATTAATTTTTAAATATTAGTATTACCTGATGATTTTTTAACCGTATATAAAGAAATGTTAAATAAATAAAATAAATAAAATAATAAATTATGCAAATGAGGAAAGCGATGATGTCATAAGTGGTTCCACTAAAACAGTGCAACACTCAATCAAGAATATGTCTAGAAATAGTAAAGCAGTGGTTTTTAAACTTGGCACCGGAAATGTACATCACAAAAGAAACAAAATGACACCCATGGTGCCGTTGTCATGGCAACAGTCATGCCGCTGGTCCTAAACCGAAACAAAAAACATTTAGACAAGCACTTTTCCTAATACTTTAACTCTTAAAATGGCTACAAATCACGAGATAAGTGTATATTTTTCGACAAACACGATCTTAGCTTTGTGTCACGCACCACCATAACTCCGAAATTGAGAATGCGCTGGTTTCCAAACGAAGGATGCTATTGAGCTGGAAAGTTGTAAACAGATATAAATTTAATACAAATTGTGCCAGATGAGGACAAAACCTAAGTGGCTCTTTAGGTTTGGATTTGAGAATTTGATGACGTCACGTGCACCACTCTATTTGAAAACATATTCACAGTAAGACTAGTTCATTGGTCAGTGGCGGATTTAGGAAAAAATGACAGAAGGACGAAAAGCCGGCAGGGCAACC